TCGTGTCATTTCATGCTCCATCCAACCAAGGAGAAGCTACACATTGTTCTAATTACTCCATTGCAGTTCATTTCATGCACATGGCATCCTTCTAATATCAGAGGTCTAAGCGAGTGTGAGGCAGCACTTTCTCGTGTTGCTATTGAAAATCCAACCGCAGCTCCAACGCAGCAATCTACAACAAAGTACAACATGGTATGAGGTACTTTTACGCCTCACATATCAACAGTATTTCTTTTTTCCCTTTTTTTTCGTTTAGAGAACCCAGGATTCCCTTTTCTTTGTTGTTTCTCTGCCAATAATGAAAGAATATAATTTTATCCCCGTCAAACTCACCAATAATAATTTGACATTTATTTATTATTTGATAAACGCGGAGATTTCTCGGCACCCAAAGCGCGAAGCCAGCCTTTCGTTTCTATGATCAGGTATGTCCTGTATTTACCTCTCTAAAACAGTAAATAGAAGGCAATATGTTCGCGTTCGATGCGACCAACAACTGTCCAAAGATTGGACCTCAAACTGACAGGACCATGCCTGAAATTACTACTCTTTAAAGAACGATCGATGGTAGATCGACTTCCACTATCTGTCTAGATACACTATGACCAAGGTGATCATGTTGGCCAAAGTGGATGATTGATATATAGTGGATCCTTGACAATAATATTAATCTATTGACGCGGGATTTGAAGGTTTCGGTAAGAGCGGGGCCGTACCAAAACAGTCAGGGCAATGGTGAGTTTCTGGACCGTGTCGTCTGGCAGACCGCCAATTGGCAAAAGCACTCCACCTGGAGGAGTTCACAACGGGAAAGTCTCTGTAGGAACGGATACGGTGTGCGGATAGAGTCCGTACCTTGCGCACGGAATACAGGAAGTACTAAGGTACCTACCTAATATGGATGGCACCCTAGAGACTTGACAGAGGCTCGGAGGTACGGAGTACTGTTGTCAAGGTGGCAACAAGGCGGCTGGATGATCCTGATAGCAAGTACACTACGTGGTACATGTGTACGTAGCAAGTCCCATGTAGCGTGTACTTCGTACAACATTCGAATCCCGTCCGGTGAGTGTCAGACATTTGATACTACCTACGGAGTACCCGGGAACCTATGAAAGACATACTTGACTCCCATTTTCCGTCAAATCATAATTCATAGAGAGAGTAGCATCGAGGATAGATAAKAGATCAGCGCGGAAGCGCTTCATCTAAGTCCTAGACTAAGACTTAAGCGGTAAGTGCCCGTGTCGCGTCCTGGATCCTTCTACGGGAGTAAACTAAACTTCCACGGAGGATGAATTGTCCGATCTCCACAGAATGAAGTGTCTGTCGTCCACCGTCATACAGTTGCATCGTACCTTCGACTACGACATTAACCGCTGCAGTCTGCAGTCTAGTTGAGTTCCGTCCATAGGTGCTTGAAAAGCTGCTCGATGCTTCAGCCTTCGTTCCCGTGTTTCTCCTCCCGTGGACTGGTTCTCAATTTCCCTCATGCTCTCAAAGTCGAATTATTGAATCGAGAATGGAAAGTGCGGATCATCGGTGGTGGACTCCTCTGTAAGTCGGCCAAAACGCATCGGGTGATCAAGAAGCGAATCACTGGCGGTTACCACTCACCAGTATATATATTGCATTAGATAGTTACGGACTCTTTGGACTGTCTAGCATCTAACACTTGCGTGTTTCTGATTACCCACCAGTTGATCATCTACTGCCTAGGGCGTAGACCACGGAGTACTCCGTACTCTTAGTGCTACTTAGTTATCTCTTAGCTCGGGAAGATTCTGTCACCATTCTGCCAGTTCTCCTGCAGGCTAGATACAGCAAACAGGGGCCATAACCGGTCTTGTTTCGCGGAGGCAATATCTCCTTCCGTTCCAAGGCTAGAAGGCTCCTAAACCGGCCTTGGAACCCTGTCCTCCCTTGCCCTTCCACCCTGTCCGTACTCGGAAGTTGCTGGCACGTAAACCCGCGGTAGGCGCCTCGTCTCCAAACGCCGATTGAAGCATCGAACCACCTCTCATCCCATGTAATTGTGCCGGGTCGTCGTTCTTGAATCCTTCGCCGTCGACTAATGTCGCCCGCCAAAGGCTTTGGAGTGACGCGCTCCACTCTTGAAGAGCACGCAATCGATCCACATCGCTGGCACTTTCCACAACAACCGTTCCGTTTTCTTGGTCGATCTTGGCATTCAATTTCTTGTCAAGGATTAGGTAACTCAGGATATCCTGTACTTCCGGGACGGATATCTTGATGTGCTTGGAGATGAAACTGAGCGAAAACCGCGTATACGGAGCGATAAATTTGAGTACGGCTTTTGTACGCATGTTACGGCTCACTTCGTCAATGTTTTCCGCGATAAAAGGGTCCGCCAGAACGTCCGGGTTCTTGCTCAAGACCGCTTCGTATGCATGTATATCGTCCCGTTGGAATGCATCGACCAAATCTGTCATGGCTGAGATGCGCGGATCGTTCTTGTAAGGCTTCGTCTCTTGCGAATCGAAGGGGTTGATGTCGGACTTCATCAGCATCGTTGTGAGGACAAGGTATTTCAGAACTTGAATTCGTTGCATCGAGCCAGCTTCGTCGTAGTTTCGGAATGATTCGAAAAAGTCGCTCTGGGCCTCTTCCCAGTTCTCTTCGCTCATATGCATCTTGCCTCCGCATTCGCGGATGATACCCATAATCTTGGGATGCGGTACGGCCGACCGCACGCGGAGTGCGCGCTGATACAGCGCCTTGAGCCGTTTGTTGTTTTTTGTCTCGGCGTACATCTGAATCTCCAGGGCATACAACTCAAGCAAATATGTCCCTTTACTGGGATCATCCGAGCCATCCTCTCGTTGGCATGCACGATGCAGCTCCCTCACTTTCTTGCTCAGTTGCCCATATTCCTTGCGCTCCAACCACAGACGGGCCAGTTTGATATTTGTTTTAAGCCACAGGCGTTCGTTGTTTGTGTTGTGAAATGAGTTGAGGGTTAAGGAGTAGAATTCTTCCATGCACTGATATGCCCTGTCGTCATCCGAAGCCTTTTCGATGTAATCGAGCATGTTGTTGATCGACTTTTCAGAGTAGTTGCGAGTGACAGCGGATTTGACGTAGGTAAGGAGCTCTCGATAGTGTTCGACTGCCTGGGGGTGTAATCAGCCTTCGTCGAGACAGGACGACTGTCGAAGACTGATGACCTACATCGCTATATCTCCCGAGCTTGAACTCCAACTTGATCGCTTGTTTTAATCCTTTGAAGCCCCTTCCAAAGTTGTCAGTGATTTTGCCTCAGCCGATCGGTCCAAATAGAGTGAGATGTAGTACCAATCGCCTTTCTCTTCCTCCATTGCAGGTACACCGAGAAACTCATCTATGGCCTCCTCCGGGTTGTCAATCTTGATCTGTTTGGCATTGTAGTATTTGTTCTCGATTCCGACGTCCCCCGACTCATCTTCGTCTGCGTCTTCGTATTCAAAGTCATACCTAGATGATCATCAGTTAGCCAACACGGAAGAGGTCGTGTGGAGGGCGTGTGTGGCATACTCCTCGTCACCGGAGTCTTGCATGAAGTCATCATCGTCAGACATTGCTAAAAGAGGGGTGGCCGAGCGAAGAGATTCGAAATGAAGGTCTAAATATTAGTGAAGTAATAAACTTAGGAATTCAGTATCTCAAAGGGTCAACGTAGGAAAATGCGTCCAGTCGTTAAAGGATGATGATAGCTTCTGGGGAATGGGCTTGAGCTCCCGCGCCTATCGGAGCGTCGGAGCCTGGGGCACAATCGCTGCCCCCGCGCTAGATAGATATTGGCCCGAACGCCTAACTAGATTATTGTTGATTATTTCGAACAATAATGCCGCTGCCAGTCAAAATAATGTCCAGGTGATAGATATACAACGCGTTGAGCGGTTTTTCTTCATTCTGCACCGCTTATTTGGGTCTTATTTGCTGGAGAACCCCATGATTCTCGTATTTGCTCAGTATAGAGTAGCTTATAATGGTTATTATTCCCAATAACACACAGCTCTCAAGTACTGCAGCTCAAGGGCTGTCGTTCGAGATACCAAGCTTACAATTGAATCTTTGAATGGAAGATGTAAACCTCGAGTCTCCTTTACGGTCAAGTGATATACAATCCTGTTGGGGCACAAAGCATCTCAAACGCCTCGATTATAACGCGTACATACATATCCCACCTCACACTATGTATAAATTCCTCAGTTCACGTCAATCCAAATTGAGGAATACCAAGCTCCAGAAGCTAGCTATCCCTAAGCTCCAGCTTCCAGACCACTGAGCCACTGACTCTACTGAGTACTGAGTCTAGAGATCCAGAAGTGGATCACACAGTGGAGTGAGCCTTCAGATCCTTGTCATCCAAGTGTCTTAGATGATGCGAATACTTGGACAGTTACGCGTATGTGAATACCTTGAATCATGAGTGCTGACATGCCTGAGTTGTTCATACAAGAACCGCGGCTCTTGCTTCTGGCTCGGATTGACTAGCGACTCAGCATGAGCGTCAACGCGGCTATTGAAAATGAACGGTCAGTAACTGAAATTCTGTCATTGATACCTAACTACCTAGAGATAGGTTCAGGGGCTATGGTTGAGGTATCTACCCTTGGAAACAAGATCAACGTTAAGACTCTTGGCAGATGGCAATTGTCCTATTCGCGGATTGCCAGCTCTGCAGGAGGATCCGATGTCATAGACTCTGCACGGTCCACGAGGCATGACTTGCGCCGCCTTCGATTCTTAAACTTACCAATTATGGGGTAGATAACTAACAGTTAACAACACTATTCTATTCGTATTACATTTATTATTAGGGGGCGACATTACCTCTCTCAACACTCCTTCATTTGTATTCTCACCCTCTGGCTGTCCTACTCGTTTGGTATATACATCCGACCTGCCGTTACGTGACTTTACCCCAATTGAAACCCCCCTTATCCAACTCCTCCCTCCACATCGCCAAGGGATCCTCGAATCTGCGTTACAAAATGGAGCTGTGCGGGCGCCAGAAAGTTGTCCAGCGCAAGATGGTGCTCTTGTTAGTTTTTCATACGGCTCAAGTTTAATCACAGGGGGCCGCTGCCTGACTAACTGATTTCGACCACAGAGGAGATGGTGCTTGCGGCAAGACGTCAGCTTTGAATGTGTTTACAAGAGGGTCAGCAGCTCGATCAATGTCTTTACATACCGATGTATCGAGCATTTGCTAACCATGCTGATAGATTTTTCCCGACAGTCTAGTGAGCTTCTCTTTTCCCGGTTATCAATCCTGTGCTAACCTATGCGACTCTGATAGTGAGCCGACTGTTTTTGGTGAGCGCATGCTTCAGTTGCAAAGTCGGTAGATGCTAACAGTTGCCTTTTGGTAGAAAACTACGTCCATGGTATTCTTCCTATTTCGCACAACTCCGGTCGAAAGGTACTCATTTGTTCCAGACATTTTCGTTGACAACGTACACATGGAGTTGTCGCTGTGGGATACAGCCGGTCAAGAAGAATTCGACCGATTACGGGCACTGTCCTACGAGGATACACATGTTATAATGCTATGTTTCAGCGTGAGGCTCCTGCTGCATCTGAAGGAAAGAAGTTTGGTGACAGAGCCTGACCATATCCTTCTCTTGTGCAGGTCGATAGTCCCGATTCGTTCGAAAACGTGGCAACGAAATGGATTGACGAGATTCGCGAGAATTGCCCCGGCGTGAAGTTGGTCCTCACGGCACTCAAATGCGATCTGCGCAAAGACGACGAGTTGAACGACAACCCGAACGCTATCACATTCGAACAAGGATTAGCGAAAGCAAAGGAAATCGGCGCTGTAAAATATCTTGGTGAGAGACTCCTTAAGCGACGAGTCGGCGATCAGCTATTGATATATGATTGATACGGTAGAATGCTCTGCTGTTCAGAATCGCGGTATCAGGGAGACCTTTTACGAAGCTGCCAAGGTCGCTCTTGATGTGAAGCCTGCAGGATCCAGCGGGTCCAAGGGACAGTGCATCATCCTCTGAATGACTCGTTCCATGCGCTGAGGAACACCTTTAGATGGATCGGTCCGATTCACAATCCCATTTGCATGCCAACTTCTCCCTCTAACAATCGGCTCATTTTGACTCACGCGAGTCGGTCGCATATCATGGCTGGTGATCACAGATACCCTACATCTTTTTCTACCCCTTTGGCCTCTCTGGGGCCACTTCAGCGCTTCAGCGTGACATCCTTTGACAACTTCTTTTCTCTATATATACTTTCCGACACCTATTTCCTTCTTATTCCTAATGTTTTTTTTGGGTACGTGGTTATCAAGAGGTATACCCGAGTACGGATTGTGGAGCACTTGATTGTCTTGCCTTGTCTACTGGATCTCCTTTCCTTCTATAATTGGTATCATATACTTGGAGTTATTAATGAAGGTGGCAACTTCATTACTCCTGATTTTCTTGCAGAACACGCGTACGCCTAGGTATCTCTTCAACTGTGATGACTGTCGAAGTCTATCGGGTGCAACACTACTATGCAGATTGATAATGTACACCGGTGTCGCTGTGAAGCTTTGGTTCCATCTTGTCTATTGTCAGAGGAGATCCTCTTCCCGAACACTATACACACCCTCGATCTTCTCCCCCGTTGCACGCTCCCCACATGCAAAATCTGCATTCACCCTCTGTACAAAAGCATCCACAAACTTGTCCGCAACCTCTCCGGTGGACACACCCGGCACACCCTCGCCCTCCAGACTCGTGGCCTCCCGCCCCTCAAGCCCGCACGGCACGATCTGCTGAAAATACCACATCGGCTCCTCCGTCACATTAAACCCAATCCCGTAGCTACTGATATTCCGACGGAGATGAACCCCCACAGCGGTGATTTTCTTAGGCAGAACACCGTCTGCATCCCCGTCCCCACCTGCAGACACGGCCATAGCCGCAGCCGTGTTCGTAGCCGGCCGCGGCCGCACCCACACGCCGGGGTCCTCGGTCACAAAGCCCTGGATGCCATACCTGCGCAGAACATCAATGACACTATTCTCGAGCAAGCGGATATGGCACCGCGGGGTCAGGCCCAGCCGTCGCAGATCTAGAATCGTGTATGCGACCATCTGCCCGGGCCCGTGGTAGGTCGTCTGTCCCCCGCGTAGGGTAGGATGGTACTCTGCTGTGGGCGAGCCATTGGGTGGTGAGGTGAGAATGGAGCGGATGGGTTCGAGGGACGCTGGGAGGGAGAGAGGCGCGGATGGCGACGAAGGGGCGGTGTTAGACGGTGGGAGGTCTCGGCGGCCGGTTGTGTAGACTGGGTTCGGGGTGAAGGTTATGATGGTTGGATCTGGGGGTGGGGTATTTGGTGAGTTAGGCTGTATCGCTCCTGTGCCTGCGGCTACTGGAGTGCTCAGTCGCTTGTATGCGAGAAGACGGGTGGTGAGGATTTGCTGGAGATGGTCGACCCGGGCGAAGGAGGTGATGTTGGGGAAATGAACGTGTGCAAGCTTCATCGTTGGAGGTATTGTGGGGGGTTTGATCTTGCAATTGAGTTGAGGCGGAGCTTAGATGCAATTGAGTCTGGATGAATGCATCATGGGCAATGGTAGGAGCGGAGATTGGGCCAGTTGCGAGACTAATGGGATCGGACAGAGTGATATGGAGACTAAGTACCGAATCCCGCCCGTGGTGTCTAGGGTCTTGATAAGATAGATCCCCTTGTGACGTGAGATCATGTGATGACCAAACAGCCTTCTGGTACAAGATTATCTATTGTGCTTGCGACCAAAGATATATGCTGGTTCTCCTTCTTTCATAACTAAAATACATGCTTACGGCTTGGGAAGCCTAATTGCTGAAGACAGACTTTCAACGGACATAGATCGAAAAGAGTATGTATGCAAGGCCCGTGTACTCATCAAAACCCAGTGCGCCGCATAGTCAATTTTGTGAAAAGATCAGCCGGCTGCTCAAGAAAGTAGCGACCCCTCGTTAAGGTGCTGAGCCGAATGGCCGAGTCTATGGAGTCGCGGTCCCGTTGACAAGTGGTTCGTCGGCTTGTTGCTCGCTTTCAGAGACCAGTCTCCAATCCCGTACGCCACCCTTCCAGTCTGCAATGCGACCTTCTCTTACCCGGACCGTAACAACCCGTACGTCATTGTCAATTGATAGACTGGGTCTCCGTTGACCAGCAGCATGCTGCTGTTGACCGAACATACCCAGCTCTTCCTCGAAAGTGTTGTTCTCCAGATGCCTCTCTTTGCACCAGGCTTCTTCCTCCGAACCAGGTTCCAAAAATCGGGCGGTACCAGTGATGGTTGTCGAAATGCTGGATAGTGCGCTGGTGTTCAGATTGAGGAGCAGACTAGCCAAGGACGACCGGGTTGCAACAGGAGGCGGGGAGCCATCGCGCTGCCCACTGGGATTTGGGGCGCGGGTGGGAGGACGGTGAGACACCCAGTCATGAACTAAAAGAGAGACTCGTGGATTGGTCATGAGATGGTTCGTCTTGCGTGACGAAGGATTCGTTGTCATAATGATCGTCGGATATGGATCAAAGGGGGTTGATGGCAGATAGGTGTAGGACATGAGAGAGATGTGAGGAGTAAGGCCATCGCAAGTTGCAAGGTGGAGCTGTCCAGAATCAGTCAGTCAATATTGACGAAGAGAACGCATATAATCAAGCGAAGGAGAGTAGCAACGTACGAATCTGGAGTTTTTGAGACACGCAATTACCTCGGGAGGGAGAGTAGTCGCGACAAGAGGATGAGTGGTCGTGGCCGAAGCCTCGTACGAAAGCGGTGGATTCAAAGAATCCGTCATTGTGTTGTGATGAAGAAATTGTGAAGAGTTCAAACAATTGGTGATGCACTCGATATTACCTTGACTGGACAGAGGAATACCACATCAGTAGCGATCACCCTGTACTACCTTGGACGGTGCTCAGCAAAGTGGGATATCGCGGTGGAGGGCAATGCGATGAGCAGGGAGAAGCTGCTGTGGCGGTGTTTTTTACTGGTTGCGGCCGAGCCCGGATCGCCGACGGATGGGGCTGCCTTAACACCTTACTGTAAGAGGTAGTACCAGAGCTAGGCACCTTAGTAAGACCGTAAGAGTATGGGAGGCCCCAGTCGGGGCTTCCCATCGACGTCACCAAACCTCGGACGGTCGGGTCGGGGCCAAAATAGGAGCTGAAGCTTTTGACTCAAGCATCTGAGACAGAGGGAAACTGACATGCAAATCTATACCAGTAAGAGAAGTGGGGATGGAGCTCTTCAGGATAAACATTTATCACGATCAATGATAAACATTCTTGACGAGGACATTCATAAATACACCTCTGTCGTCATCAAGTTACTACTCAGGTATGGTGGGTTTCCAGCTAGCTAGCCCAAGCAGGACTGAGAAGCAGGACCTCCTCTACAGAGTATTACTTTACATCTATCTACATATTCCGTTCCTTGTAGCTTTTTGCTTTTTACCCAAGGCTGCTAGCATCCTTACTCCGCAGTCGCAGTACATTGTCTGGGCTTTTGTTTCCCCGCACTTCCCGTGCTTAGCTACCCTAGGCCCTACGGTAACCTAAGGAACTCCAGTCTCAGAGTAAGCTGCTTTCCCCAGCTTCTTTCCCACTCAGCTTCAGTCCTCGTCCACCTCTCATTCATACCCTTCCACCACCAATGGTGTATCAGTGATTAACCACTTCTAGTACTCTGTATTAGCCATCTGAAATTACCAGTTTCCTTACCTTAGTCTGTGGTGAATTCCTACCAGTCTGATTGGGTGATTAGCGCTTCTCCGCTTCTTCATCCACCTGCTGGCTAATCCCTGTGCTTGCTACTTTGACTCCCACGCCACAAAAAGCAACTGCCTCTGTACAACAACCCGCACGCACACACCAAGTACAGCGTCTCTGCAGCTCTCTTTCCACATTTAAAGCTGTTTTGTCAGTAGATCGCGTGCCAGTTTCATCAATACTAAATATCCCTGCTTGTTCTCTGTGCTTCCCCTCTTTGAACAACCGCTGTCTGTCTTTCTGCTGTCTTTGCTCCTTGTGAAACCTTCCTTTCACCCCCCTTCGACTGTCCCTTCAACCGAGTCGTTTAATCCACTGTCAGACCATATCACTTTGCTCTATTCCTGCACTGTGCCTCAGTTGCCAATCCTTTAGTTCTCTCTTTGTTGTCTTCCCTTTCATCTTGTTGTACATTCAGGCAACATGCTCGCCCCGCGTTTTGTCCGCCCGGTGTCGTCGCTCGTACGGCCCTTTAGCTCGTCTACCGCCGTCTATCGGGCTCCTTCCATCCGCGACATTACCGCCGACTCGGCCGCTGAATTCAACGCGCGTCAGAAGGAGTTCCGGGAGAATTTGGAGGCAGCTCGCAAGAAGAGGGAACAGCAAGAGAGTCAGTCTGTCGATGCTCCTGGTTCTACCCCAGCTTCCCCTGCTATTCGTGATCGCTTCCGTGAGTACGCTACCGCTCCCACTGCTCCCCGACCGAGCAATGCGAGCAGTGAACTTAGCCCTGTTGTTGATGCCGCCAGCGTTCTTGATAGCAAGGCATTGGGCTTACTTTCCACCCACCGTTCTGTAGGAGACGAGCAGTTGTCAGAAGCCAACCAGTCTCCCAAGCGTGGCCCCTTATCTTCGCTCATTTACGGAACGAAGGAAGGCCAGCATTTCGACAAGGACATCGAACGTTCGTTTTCGCAAGTCCTCGCTCGCGGCAAATACGTCCATTCGATTGTCTTCCATGAGGTCAAACCCGACAAAGTAGATGAATACGTCGATCTCGTGGGCGAGTGGTACCCCCGCATGGCCAACACCGAAGAAAACAGGGTTAATCTGGTTGGAAGCTGGCGCACGCAAGTGGGAGATAATGACACATTCGGTATTTCCATCTATGAACCCAAAATTCTCCGGTCGCCTCCTGAAGCCGTGTCTATTGAGTCTTTCCATTGCTGACATAGCCTTCCGGTAGTGCACATTTGGGAGTACCAGCGTTACGAGGGCTACCATGCCTCTCTGCATAACATTTCTCAACACCCCGAGTTCCCAGCATTTGACCGCAAGTTGAAAAGTCTGATCAAGAGCAAGAAAACGTCCCTGATGCAGGAATTCTCCTTTTGGCCAACAACCCCTCCGCGCCGCCTCGGCGGCCTCTTTGAGCTCCGGTCCTACACCCTTCATCMTGGAAACTTGCTTGAGTGGGAGACACACTGGCGACGCGGCTTGAGGGCGCGCCGCGAAGTGATGGAGGGCGTCGGTGCATGGTTTGTCCAGATAGGTGATCTGAACACAGTTCACCACCTTTGGCAGTTTGCGAATTTGGAGGAGCGCAAGATCCGTCGCGAGCAGTCTTGGGGCATTGAAGGCTGGGCAGAGACAGTTCACAGGACGGTGCCACTCATTCAAAGCATGCAGAGCCGGATTCTGATCCCCATGCCATGGAGTCCTGTTGGCTAAATAGGTCCGCACATTTGGAGATTTGTAGAGGTTGCAATCACGAGACCAGGTTGTCCACTTGTGAGATCGTGGTAGCCAAGCGACCGGAGCCGTCATGGCTTGGGTTCGTGCACAAGGTTCTGGAGTGCCATGATTGAGATTGAAGAGCACCGGCGAGCAAGTGCGACTTAGACGCATTGGTAGTCGCTAGGGCCGCTGCTTTATGGAGACGAGTTCTCTGATTTCACTGGCACGCTGTGGCTCTGTAAACTGTCCACAGTATTCTGCTACTATACCTACTTAGCTTATAAACCCCACCATGGCGCTTTAGCTATGTATCTATCATGTTCATAACATTTTCATCGATGTTGTATTTAGCAGTCTACCCAGAGAGCTTTTCTCTCTCTTTTTTGCTTTGCCTGTAACCCGCATGTGTTTCCTCGGACCAACACAAGGATTTGGGTCTTAGTAGCCAACTCAGCCCAACAGTACTTACTCCGTACTGCTGCAGCTGATCATGATTAGTTCACCCCAGTTTTACCCCGCTTTTTCTCGACTTCGACAAGCTGAGCCAGGCACAGTTTCACTCGTATCTCGCTGCTCCTGTCTTTAACTTCTGCCTGATGTCTGGATAGTGGTATCACTGGTAGGACCGAGTGCCGCACGTGCAAAATATGGTGGCAGTTAAGGTTCAAATACACAAATCACGTGGTGTATCAAACCAAAAAAACCACTGCATTTCTGCTCCATAGGTTAACACTGAGACATCTCCCGTTATTGATCCTGAACCAGGTCATTCATGAAAACACAATCCATCTTTATGTTTATCCGTAGATTTACTGACTCCTGCATTCAAGGCTTCTCAGCAACCTTAAGCTAAGGAGCCTAACTGTAATGTACCGTAAGTTCGAATACATGCGGTAGGTTTCTTTGGCCCCGCATCCCGCCCTCAAGGCTGTTTTTCCGCCGGCAGAAAAAAAGTAGACATGACAGAAATTTGGTACTAAAAGGGGACGTCAACAATCCAGATCAGCCCTCCATCTGTCCTTTTTCAATATCCCTTTCTCGTCGCCATTACTTTGCTGGGAGTTCCTCCGATGCATTACTTTTATAATATAAACTGGACTTTCGATCTTTAATTTTGGCCTCCTCTGTTTCTCTCGACCTTCTTTGTGCTTGAAGTTTAGGATTCACCGCCGGCTTGGCTACTCTCCTGTCGTAAACCAAAGCGAAGCAGCGTCTCTCCCAGCATACTTCCATAGACCATCGCGAGGCTGGAGCGGGGTCGACAAGATGACCTACATTCGGCAGCATCAATTGCCAAATCTCAAGACTTATCGATATGCTGGTGTGGATCACTCGCTGATCAGTCGATATGTCCTCAAACCGTTCTATAACCGATGCGTGATCAACTGTTTCCCCATGGGCATGGCGTGAGTAGCTACGCCCCCAGTGATGTTTGAACCTTTGTTTGCCTGGCCTAGCTAACAGTAGTGTTCTACGTCTTTTCTATTCAGGCCTAATGCCGTAAGTGTCTAGTCCTCCTGGCTGGTCGAGCTTTAGCAGACCAACGATCGAGAAACTGAGGATTGGTAGATTACCCTGACAGGGTTCTTATTTGTGGTAATCAACTTCATCACCATCTTATGGTACAACCCAACGTTAGATCACGATTGCCCTCCATGGGTCTATGCCAGTTGCGCCATTGGGTTGTTCCTGTATCAGACGTTCGATGCAGTAGACGGCATGCAAGCGTATGGACACGCGTCCTCCTTCCCATCTGCTAGTAGACTAGATTGACTGAGTCTTGTCCATACAGGCGGAGAACAAGACAAAGCAGCCCCCTTGGGGAGCTGTTTGATCACAGTAAGTAGAATGTCGCCCGGGGTCTTCAAAGAGGAAGAGAAAGCGCGATGTTCATTTCTTTCCCTGCAGGTGTCGATGCATGCAATACGGCTCTTGGAGTGATCATCTTTGCTGGTGTGACGAACCTTGGTCAGAGCTGGGCTACTATACTGAGTCTCTTCGGAGGTACGCCGAGATTGCCTCCTAGAATTGCTTTATCGGAGTACTAATTTAGGTTAGCCACTATGACCTTCTATGTTCAGACATGGGATGAATACTATACTCAAATTTTGACTCTGGGAATCATCTCTGGCCCCGTCGAAGGTGTCTTGACTCTGTGCACCGTGTTCGCTTTCACTGCATACCAGGGCGGCGGCAGCTTCTGGCACCGCGCCATGCTTGAGACAATCGGTGTTCCCAGATTGGATGTGATTCCCGCTTATTTATATGAGATGCCCTTTACGCAGTGGTACCTGATATACGGCGCCATCATCCTCTTCTTTGCCACTGGGTCCAGCATTGCACATGTCATGAAGGTTCAAGCTGAGCGTGGAAAGGACACGGTTAGACCCCTTTATGGCTTGATCCCTCTGGTTACAATGTGGACGCTTGCGCCCGTCTACCTGTACTTGCAACCTACCATTCTGGAACACTACACGATTCCATTCATGCTGTTAGTGGGCTTGGTCAACGCCTACGCTGTGGGCAACATGATCGTTGCACACCTGATCAAGGCGGACTTTCCTTACTTCTATATCTTTATCGGCATTGCCCCTCTCGCATTGGGCGTGCTGGACCGTGCTGCGCCCTTGCTTGGTCTTTGGCAGGGTGTTCTTGGGAACGAATCCGGTCAGGTCGCCTATCTCTTCGGATGTCTGGGTCTGGCCATCGGTGTGTACGGAAGTTTTGTGGTATGTCCTACGGTCCGACAATAAGGAATCATAATTGAGGCTGACGATCCCCAGCACGATGTTATCATTACAATATGTGATTACATTGACATTTGGTGCCTGTCCATCAAGTATCCACATGTCGAAGAGCGGCCGATTGCTAACGGGCAACCCAAGAAAGTGCTGTGAGAGCAAAGGCTGCCTACTGCAACCATTCAGCTGCATATCAACTATGCCGAGATCACAGACAACAGCAGATGCGTGATGGAGAGATGTTGGCGAAGAGCTTTAGGAGGGAAAGCAATACCCGAGCGCAATGTATTGTATTGTAAGCTAGAGCCGTTCAGTCGGGTTACTGTTTTGCTTCATCTGGATTGATTTGGGTTATTGAGCTATACCTCAGGTACATACAGTCGCCTATATTATAGCTGGTCTGGAAACCAGCCTATGACATGTTTGACATTATGCGAGAATTGGATTAGCGGTTCGTTCAGCAGCTTTTTCTAATGAATCTGATATGTTATTTACGGATTGAACCAATCTCTACCAAACTCCTGAAGGGAGCCATGTACGAATCGACCTCCCGAGGCATCATCGTAAAGAAGTAGCTGGACAGATCCAGAAGACGGAGTATGGACCTTGATGGCAAGAGGACTACCTGATCAGGAATAGTGGGTATGGGGCTCAAGCTATACCTCAATAGACATAGTAGAATGTATGATTGGCTACCTGTTAGGCGGGGATGGGACGAGCACACGGGCCGTGTCAAAATTACCAGTAAGAGGAAGGTAAGCGAGGGCTTGAGCCCTATTCTCCCCAAACGGGCCCGGCTGGGCGACGCCCTCAGAGAATTCCCTTCAAACTTCGCCATCTCCACGAGACCACCTCTTTCGCTTCAACACCCCTCAAGCAGGCCATCTCCATCAGCGCAGCATTTCAATCCATTTCGCTGATCGACTTTTTGTCTCGTCAAGATGGTAGGTTCTTCTTGCATTTTAGCCTCATGCAACACCTTGGGATATCCCCTAGCCATTCTGCTTTTGTCTGCACAGGCTAAGGAGCTTGCTGCCCGTCGTGTGCTCGCCGTCGCCGGACAGCTTTTTCCATCACAAAAAGACATCAAAGTATCATCAACTAACACAATTTTTCTCTTTCACAATAGGTTCTCGCGGTCGACCTCCTCAACCCTACTCCTCAGGCTGAGGCTCGCAAGCACAAGCTTAAGGTATGATACCGAATTAGATGTCCACCAAGGTCCCGGATCCGATGACTGATGTTGGGAATCGCTTCGACAAATAGACCCTTGTGCCTGCTCCCCGTTCCTTCTTCATGGACGTCAAGTGCCCCGGCTGCTTCACCATCACCACCGTCTTCTCCCACGCCCAGACCGTCGTCGTCTGCGCCGGCTGCTCGACCGTCCTTTGCCAGCCCACCGGTGGCAAGGCCAGACTCACTGAGGGCTGCTCCTTCCGGAGGAAGTAAATGTCACATTACGACGCAACCGAAGCCGGAGCGATGATTTAGGGAATGTGGCGTTCTTCTTCGACGATGGATTAATCTTTTTTTTTTGAGAGAGCAGATTGCAGATAGAAGATGGAGTCCTCACCCCCTTTGCGGGAAATCTCAAAAAAATTACAAAGTTCGATCCGAAAAAAAAAAGCATTACCGGGCAGTTAATTGCCACACCCAAAAGCATTGACGATCTGTTAAGCTTTTATTCTCATGGAGGGGAGTTCCGGATATCTGGCATATGAACACGGTCCAACACTATATCAATCCGTTTCTGCACATCTTCTACTCGTTGCTTCTTAACTCTGTTCTTTACTTGTTCTCACGCACTTGTTGATATTGTACGACGATTCTTCTCATTAACGGATTGTATCTCGGTTACCCTGAAAAACGACACGGACTATGACGGGCTCCTCTTACGATAACGATCGACATCTGCACGAGCCTGGCTGGCCACGACGATACCCAGATGCCGGATGAAACGGAGCGTTCGTCGTTGACGGCAACGGATGGACTCTGGTGGCCGGTGCAGCGCTATGACGGGCGATGTTGCTGCTGGATGATGCGGGAGCGAGTGTTCATGGCAGGAGAGCTTGCAGTTGGTTACGGTTCATTCTGTAGCTAAGCTGTAGTTAGTCTCGACTGCTGTAGTGAATCTCAAGCCCTAGTTTCAGTCCTCTGGTGTCGCCCATGTAATTGTACATGTAAATGCACTTGTTTCCACATTCGTCTGCTACTTGCTACACACTTCGTAGATCTTATCTCGCTACGGGCATATCGTCCTCGTCATCGGCCCCGTCCCTTCTCACGTCTTTCTTATCGATTATCGCCCCGGTTGCACCCCCCCTCTTCCCTTACTATAGCCCCACCTAGTCCGCGATTTACCATCGCACACTACTAGTGTTTGACACTATTGACTGGCTGCAGCATACTGGGCACGCTTCACCCATTGACAGCAGAGCGACATATGCAACAATACAAAAGTTTCATTCGTGTTCGTCTTGCTCATACACTAACTATAATGTCAACGAGAGTTCGGCTATTCAGTAATCAGCCTGGTATAAGCTTCATGCGGGATGTCTCGATCCATTCCTCATCCTAGACCTTGATGGGAACAATGGAGATGCGAACTAGGGCAGAAGAACCAGCTCCTTATCCGTTCGTGGCCCATCCATCATTGAGTGACCTACCGAACTCCTAGCGATAGCCGGAGGAATGGCGGAACACTCAAACGAAGGGACAAATTCAAAGCTAAAGCTCAACTAGCGCCTTCGCTTTCGCCCGAATGTCGTCCCCAAAGTCCACGGGGTTGGTCGGGTCGCCGCCGGTCATCAGCGCCAGTTTACCCGTGGTATCGTTGACGAGGGTGTTGGTAAAGTTGTTCCGGCCGAGGACGTCCTGGGCCTTGCTGCGGGCGTTGGCATCGCCGGCGAGGAACTTGTCCATGTCAATTTGTTGCAATTCGCGGTGGGTGTTGCGGACGAAATCGAAGAGGAAGAAGAGGGTTGGGTGGGTGTTCGGGGGCTGCATTTGCGGGTGGGCCTCGAAGGATCTGTTGGTTGCCGCAGTTGGCATATTAGTGAAGGAACCATCTTATTCAGGCTGGGCGTGAGGCTGAGATGATCGACGACTGGCGTGCAAGTGCTAGCTTGTGGTGAGCTTGCAGGCAGATACGTACTCGAGGAGCTCGGCCATTTTGGCATCGATACGGTCGACGTTGAATTCGAGCTGTTCAGCGCTCATTTTCGATTGTGTAGCAACCTAGATGGACAGTGCTGTGTTTGTGATGGGTGGGAAGACGTTTGTGGGGAACTATTAGTAACTAGTGAGCGATCAGTCGATGGGATTAGGTGTTGTTGGATGACGATGATCGAATCCGATACATCACACGGTCAGTTGAAGTGGTGGAGCTACACAAAAATCAAGGAATGGAAAAGTTGCCGCGCCTTATCTTATCGCGCGGGTGTTTTCCCACTGCGCTACGAGAGGTACCTTTTTCTAGATTGGGCCATAAGATATCAACCATTCAGCTTCACTTTCGCATAGATGGACATTTTATAGAAAATCTGCATGATCTGTCGCTCATTGTGACCCTCGTCAACCTTGCCACAGCCTCTCATCATGGCGCCCCGTCAACCGCTCAAACTCCTCATGCTTCACGGCTACACCCAGTCCGGCACCCTATTCCACGCCAAAAGCCGTGCCCTCATCAAGCATATCACAAAGGCATTCCCCCTGCACGAAGTCTCCGCCATCTACCCAACAGGTCCCACCCGCCTCAATCCCGCCGACATACCAGGTTACGAGCCGCCCGCAGAGGGTTCCACCGCAGAACAGCAGCAGGAGCAAATCGAAGCATACGGGTGGTACCGCCGCTCAAACACCACCGATCCACCCCTCTACCTCGGCCTTGAAGGCGGCCTGGATGCCATCGCCAAGGTCCTCCGCGAGGAAGGGCCGTTCGACGGCGTGATCGGGTTCTCGCAGGGCGCCGCGATGGCCGCTATGGTTGCGTCGCTGCTCGAGCCCGGCCGAAAACAGGCATTCGAGCATTTCGCGGATCCCAAGGTTGCCTCGGAGGGGTCCGAGGTCAAGGAGCCTGTTGCGGGTGTCGCATTTCCCGCGTCGTTTGAGGAATCGGGCCATCCGCCTCTGAAGTTTGCGTTGTGTTATAGTGGGTTCCGGTCGCCGGGGCCGCGGTATCGGCCGTTCTATGAGAATCCGCCTATTCAGACGCCCATTCTGCATGTCCTGGGGTCATTAGATGCCGTTGTTGACGATACACGCAGTCGTGCGCTGGTCGAAGCCTGTGCTGGTGATCCGGAAAAGGAGGGGAAGGTTGTGTGGCATCCTGGTGGGCACTTTTTGCCTAGTCAGAGGCCGTATTTGGATGCTGCGGTGCGGTTCATCAAAGAGCAACTGGAAGGAAACCAAGCGAAGATGGATGCAAAGGAAGATGACGTTAGGGATATGGATTTGCCATTTTAGACTCGAGTCGCCATTTTTGACCTTACTACCCGCTTTGTATATATCTGACCCGAGGATTTAGATGATGTCCAGACATAGATGGGATCGTGCCTTAGAATACAATATCACAATTGACGATCAGTACCGGATGCAGTAGGTAAGCTTTATGCTTCAAAGATTTGGAATTCTGCGTTACGCATTAATCCGGAGTCGTTCACTGTCAGTATATTTTACACACTGTTGCAAAATATCTAGTACCCAGTCCGATCGTGACCGCTATCCACATGTGCGCCACCAACCGGATGCCTCTCAGCGAGCCTTGCCCTTCTCCCCGCGGGATGGAAGAATTCTGGCCATCATCTCTTCCTTGGTAATCAAATGATCGATGCGCTCCAATAACCCAAGGAGGCTCTTCATGTCGCTGCTCCATTCGTTAAGCACATCATCGGCATCTCGAGGCTTGGCGAAATTGACAAGTCGTGCTGGACGGTCAATCTTGGCATAGATGGTTTTTGATGTCACCAGCTCGCTGATGTACTTTTCTGTCTCTTCCTCAGTCAGATCGAGGAGTTCAGTCAGGCGACCCATCTGAATGCGAGTGTAGTACTTGGCTACCACGCGGACATTGTGTTCGATGACGCGCTTGCGGAGATCTTGCCACCTCTTGTGTGCCTGATCCTCCGCGGACTGGCTGGGTTGCGCGTTGAACACGTCCGTGTTGCAGAGATGTGGACCAAACTGCTCGGCAACCATGGGCCAACGCATCAGCTCTGGGACGGTGAAGAGCTTGACCAGGCGAGCCTCAACAGGAACTAATGAGAGTCTGGAATCTTGCTGAATGCGATGCAGCAGATCGGACTGTTCGTTGTCGTATGGAGATAGGACAATGTAGTAGACGATTCGGGCAAGCACCTTTGGTGGCTATTGTTAGTTTCCGCATGTAAGGCAGGTTAAGTATCAGCTTACTGCTCGCAGTTCCTCCGGGTTATTCTGCACTGATTCCGTGTCCAGGACCTCGCGGTAGTGTTTGCAAACATCCAGATACTTGTAGTCATGGTTTGCAAGAATGACCTGTTGCTCGTAATAACGGAGCTTCAGGTCTGTCACGTCTTCATCGACTTCCATGGGAGGTTCATCGGGAGCCCGTGTCTTTTCTCTTTCCTCAGCGGCCTTCTTGAGCTTTTCAATTTCCTCTGCTGACTTCTTTGGCTTGCGGGCGAAGTATTTCTTGTTGATCTTGCGACTCAAGATCGCAGCTTGTGACCAATCACCACGTTCTATACAAAGAGCAACCTGCTCCAAGATAAACTCTGTCTTCTCACGTCTCGTCATGGAACCGAAGGTTTCCACCTGCAGCTCGCAAAGGATGTCGGCGGCAGCATTGACGTCACCCTGTGATTTCTTGATGTTCGACAAAATGCGTGTTACACGAGCCCTCTCTACTTCGACGAAAATCTGCAAAAAGTATCAGCAACAAGCGTCCTGGAGCGACGGGCCTGTTATGGTGCACTTACCTTGCCTTCGGTCACGGTTCGCAGCGTCTCGATCACAGACAACTTCACATCCATGCTAGGTGTCTCATCCAAAAACTTCATCACCGTCTGAACCATCCTCGTTGTCGCCTGTTTGAGTTGTCCATGTTTCTTGGAGAGCAAGAGCACTTGGTCATTGAGGAGATTCCAGTTGCCCGAGTCTTTGCAGATTGTGACAATAGTGACAAGAACCCGTGAAGTAGTAGCGAGATCAGAAGCCTGAATCGTGTGTCAGGTTAGTCTGAGTCATCGGGAAAGTAGGAATCCAGTATGATGGCATACCTGTCGTGCTTGCTTCTCCAGAACCAGGAGCTTATCGATGGCAGCTTCAACATCGGACTGAGGATACACTATCAGTACTAGATTAATACAAGAAAAGAAATGATTCAGACCTTTGCTAGCTGCTCTGCCTCTGGGATCAGCTTGTCAGCATCCTTCGAGAAATCTTTCTCCGGCTTCAAGAGGCCTCCGTCG